AAAAAAAAAAAAAAAAATCCTAAGCCGGCAAAGAATCTTCGGCAGCCAAAGCAAGCCCTCAAACAGCCAACCTGGAACCCGCAAAAAGCAAAAAAAAAAACACAAACTGTAGAATGCTTACAAAGGAGCTAAGAGCCCCCACAAAGCCCAAGGCCGTCCCGGTACCCGCAACTCTGCCTGGGCCAGTTTCAAAGGCGTCGCCTTCGGCGACCTCCTCAGAGAGCTCGAACCTCAGGCTTAAAATGGTTTGGAGAGTTTCCGTACTTTTACCAACAAGAAGAAGACTCATAATCATAATAATAAGAATAATAATAACCAGAATAATAATCATAAAAATCATAATAATCATAATAATAATGATAACAATAATAATAGTAATAATAGTAATAATAGTGATAATAGAAACAGTATTTAGCAATAACCCATATGCAATAAGGAAGAGGTAGTTAGTTATTGGCCGTCGGTCATTAGCTATTAGCACAGTAATTGGCATTTCGTAAATAGTAATTAGTAACGCAAAAAATGGAAATTGGTAACTAGCCATTAGCAATTAGTAGTTAGTAGTTGACAATAGTAGCACTAGTAGTGGCAATATCAATACGCCTTATCATAATACTAGTAGCAACAACTTCAATAATGATAATAGTAGTAACACTTATAATAACAATAAACACTAGTTGTAATAATACTTAATAATTGCCCATATTTGTTCATAACTAATGATAACGAAATATCAATATCAACTACATGTAGACGTGTAAAATTCAATGTTGAATTCAAAGCGAAGCTCGGGCTCAGGGCATGGGGCTTGAGTTTTTGGGCCATGCAGGTGGACGTGTTCCTGCAGTTGTTTCTGCTTCGGGGCGGGGTTCAGGACAAAAAGTTTAAGGTCTTTTAGGGTTTAGGGTTTAGGATACAGGGGCCGTAATTTACTGCGTTCTGTCTTTTGTTCTTTCTGTCCTCTCCTTCCCTTCTTGTTCTTCGTATCTTCCCTTCTTCCTGCCTTCTGTCTGAGAACTAGGCCCTCCGCTCCAGGCCTCTAGGGTTTGAGGTTGAGGGTTTCGGGCTTACTCCCTAAACCCTAAACCCTAAACCCTAAACCCTGAGCCCTAAAGGCCCTAAAGGCCCTAAACCCTAAACCCCTAAACCCTAAACCCTAAAGGCCCTAAACCCTATGGGATGTTGTGGCCTTCGGCTTGGGTCCAAGGCATCTTGGAGTGCAGGGTGCCTGTGATCGTCTACTTTCAGGGTTTAGGGTTTAGGGTTCAGGGTTTAGGGCTTCAGGCAGGTTCGACCTTGCAGTCAAGGCCCTTCTCAAATTGGAAGAAAGCTGAACCCCAAACCCTAGACCCTTGAACCTTAAACCCCAAATCCTAAACCCCAAATGTAAACTCCAAACCCAGCATGCTCAAGGCCAAACCTTAGAAGTGCTTCGCCGCATGCCGTTGTGGCCCGAAACTCTCGGCCCCTGGCGCTTCTTGCAGCTCACCTCGCGAAATGTGGAACCTGGGCATCAGCTAGAAAAGGGCCACTATACTAGTTACCATAGGGGCTTTACCGAAAGGGTTTAGGTAAAGTTTAGGGTATGGGGGCCTAGCATCAACATAAAGGTCCCGAGCCCTGTAGTACGTTATGGGTAGAATCTGCGAGCATCAGAGCACAAGGCAAAGCCGGCTAAGCATCGGCTCAGATTCGAGCTTGATCAGCTCTGTGTAGGTCTCCCAATTCAAGGAGATGCCCTCCCACTCAAAGCGGTCCAGCCAGGCCTGAACTTTCTTCCGGAGACCCTACTGAAGGCTGGCCAGTGTGCAACAGGAAGATGCAGGTTGTAGCAGTGCATGCTGCCGACTCTTCACACAGCATTCACGGACATCTTGGTGCATTTTGCTGCGACGAGACTCTGACACATCCACTGCGTAGCCATTGCTATCGCAAAAACTGGGTGGCGATGCCTGTGAGTATCTCCAAAGTGAGTCGAGACACATCAGAGGCCCACCTCTCTTGAAACTCCATGGGGGTGAAGCAGCACGAGGCACCGGCTGAGTGACGCCACCAAATAGGCTGTACATGTATCCCCTCCATTTGTAGGAGTGGACACCCAGCTAGTGCCAAGGCTGCCGTCTATACAGGGAGAGCTCGCAGAAGCCTGATTGATCTGTAAATCCTCAGGCAGGACATGGCAGGGGCTGAACCAAGCATCCCCTGTCAAGCACGCCTATCAGGCACCTGGAACCAAAACTTTCAGGCCACCCCATAAACAAAACTGGCTGTGCTCCTCAGGAGACAGCCCGTGGTATGTTAGCTTTGGGACTCTATGGCTCAGAAGATCCCTTGCCCCACGCGGTGCTTGTTGCGCATCTCCTCCGCGCTCTTCTGCATGTCCAGGTAGGCGTCGAGGGACTTGTCGGCATCAAACTTTCCCAGCTTGGCCTCCGAAACCTTCTCCTTCTGGGCCCGCTTGCCGGCCATGGTCGGATGAGCCAAGCCATCCACTTCGCGCAGCAAAGCGGGGTAGGGCTGGGCCTGGGGCTCGTTGAAGGACATGGCAGAGCGGTTCTTGTTGCGCACCTCCGCAGCACTCTTCTGCATCTCCAGGTACGCAAGGCGAGACTCGTCTGCATCGAACTTGCCCAAAGAGGCATCCGAGAGCTTCTGAGCCTGGGCACGCTTCCCTGCCATGGTCTCACCCTTCGCCTCCTCCACGCGTGACGGGGGCTCATAGCCGAAGGTGAGAGCGGAGCGATTCTTGTTGCGGGCTTCCGCCGCACTCTTCTGCATCTCCAGGTAGGCGAGGCGACGCTGGTCGTCATCGAACTGCCCGAGAGCAGCATCAGAGAGCTTTGCTGCCTGAGCCCGCTTGCCGGCCATAGTCACAGCTTCTGGCTGCGGCTCTGCCTTCACGCTGGTGTCGGTCTCGACGTGGGATGGTACCCCGGGCTGACTCAGCACACTCTCGGTCGACCTCACAGAACGGGCGGAGCGAGCAGAGCGAGCGGTGGCTGTCCGCACCGAGCGGCCGGAACCGGTAGGGCCGGTGGGGCCGGCAGGGGGCTGGAGCTGCATCTGAAGTACCTTCTTGTCCACGCACTTCTCGATCAAATCCATCATCTTTGCTTCCATCGCTTCTGTGCGGCCGGTGTCCACCCGCGAGGTCCGCGAGGCTCGGGTGCCGCGCGAGGCCACGGAGCGCGCGGTGGCCGTCACCTCGGAGCGGGCGGTCGCCTTCTCCTCGGGAGCCGCATCCTTGGCTTCTTCCGGAGCCGCCAAAACGGCCTCCTTGGACTCGCGTCGCCGGGCGGCCTTCTCGGCGGCGATGGTGAAGGCATCCGGCAAGCTGGCATCACCGCTGCCCCAGGGGCAGGTGTTGCCGCAGGTGGTGTTCTGAGCATAGCGAGCCATGGCTTTGGGACTCTTGGGTTGTCTTAGGCTTGAACTCGTCGCAAGGGCCTTGAAGCGCAAAGAGGGCTCCCGGACGATTGCAACCGCTGATGCTCCAGACTCGAGCGGGCTCTGGAATCCTATGCTTGCTACTGACGACACACGTTTCAACTACACCAATAGTTGTACACATTCTACGTAATCCTGTCGCCGCTGCTTCGCTTGATGACGCCATCCTAGCTGCTAGTGTCCGTATCAACTACCAGCATCATCATTGCCACTGTGGATCTCAAGCATACGGCGAAAACTGCAGCTTGAATAAATTATGGCTATCGCCTCAAACATCGATTAGGTGTGTGCGTGTGTATATCTATATCTGTACCTATAGCTGTAACTGCATCGACATCTACATCCATAGCTGCATCTATGTATGTGTGAATGCACATGTACACGTACATGTAATATGCATAAATTCGTTCAGCGAGTACAGCGTCCTCACCACTCGTCGCAGAAACATGATCATTACGCCAATCCCACACTCGATCTTGACTCTTAACATTGACCCTAAAGCTTGAAATGCTAAACTCAAGGCTCTGAACTTTAAACCCTAGCCCTAGAGCCCTATTAGCCCTGAGCCCTCAGGCCCTAAAGTGTTCCGCCTTGACCTGCGTCGCGTCCCCGGAGGTGCAGAAGCTGCGCAGCACCGCGCAGTAGCACTCGTCATCGGGGACGACTTTGGACTCGATCTCCTGCGCTTCAAGGGGTCTGGGGCTTTGATACGGAAGGTTCGCAGACTGCATCCAGCTCCTTTCGACAGCAGCATACGGGCCCGGTCGGGCTGGAATCCGTCCATTGTCAAATTGCTTCTCTGAATTACTGCATAAAGCATGACACCACAAGAGGGCTTTCCGAGCTGTACACAGCGCGCCCTGCATTTCAATCCTCATAAGCTCCCTGCACGGCGGCGGTGTCCTTCAAGATTTGTGCGGCCTGCTCAGGCCCCATATGCTGGAGGCGGAGCATGTTGTCAAGGATGCACTGCACGTCGCTGCTGATGGGCAGAGGCAACGCCGGAGCTGCCTCTGGCGCGTTGAAGCCTCCCCACCCGATTCCGTCGCACATGAGCATCATCTGATTGGAGCTTGGTGTCATTGTATTCATCGCATTACAAGCGGCCGCAAGTGGCCTCTCCGTGCAAACGGTCATGGTTGCGGGCACCCCCGGAAATTCGGGTACCTGGGCACCGTAGGCATAGTTGTACAGCTCCTCTCCGGCCATGCGGTACTTGTTAAGCAGGTCCTCGCCGCGATGCACATCGAAGTCTCGCCGAGAGCTGTGTCGCCTGACACTACCGGCAAGACAAGCCGGGGATGGCAATTAAAGACTGGGAGCATCTCAGGGCAATCGGAGTGCAGCGTTAATGGATCAACAACTATGTGTAGTTAGGTCCTAGTAGAATCTAACAAATCTAGTGTGTTTGAGTGCATCTCGCGAAGGCCTGCCATCGTTTGCTTGCCTCCACTGCCACTGGCTGCCATGGTCCCACTCGCTGCGGCGGCGGCGGCCACCGTACGGCATCGTCTCAATGTAATGTGATGGGACGACCACCTACCTTTCAGCTACACTGTGCACACAGGAGTGCAGCACGAGCGCCTGCAGAGCAGCATTCATCAATACGTTGATTTGAAGCCACGCCCTCCTCTGCTGTCTATCTATCTATCTATCACTCTATCTCTCTCTATCTCTCTCTATCTCTCTCTATCTCTCTCTATCTCTCTATCCCGCCTCTATCTCTCTATCTATCTATCTATCTATCTGTCTGTCTGTCTGTCTGTCTGTCTGTCTGTCTATCTCTCTCTCTCTCTGTCTGTGCCTCGCGCTCTCTCTCTCTCTCTCTCTCTCTCTCGCTCTGTAACTATAAATATAATAAGTATGTATGTATATATATATATGCGCACATACATACATACATACATACATACATACATATACACACACATATACGATGAGATACGATGAGGCACCCCAGCTAGAAGGAGCGTCAGCTGCATGCAGCAGTCCTGCCAAAGCTCCTGCACCTTCTCCGTGTCTCCAACTGCTGCCCAGGATTGAAGGACCTTGACTGTTTCAGGGCCTGGGGGATTCTACCAGGGTTGTATGGACAGCTCTATGCAAGCCTACAAGAAATAAACAAATGTATATATATATATATACATATATATATATATATACATATACTATATAGATAGATAGGGTTTAAGGTTGAGGGTATGAGAGTTCTATATATATGGGGGGCTGTAGTATCTGTAGTGGCTAAAGTGATTCTGAAAGGGTTCGGGAAGGCGCTTTGAAAGCTCAGGTCTGCCAGGTCCCCAGGCCCCTTGCATTCGCAGGGGTGCTTAGGGTTTAGGGTTTAGGGTGCTGCCGGCATGGAGTAATTTTTTTTTCGCCGCTGTCCTGTAACTGTAGCGGGTTTAGGGTTTAGGGTTTAGGCTTTAGGGCTGTAACCCTAGGCCGGAAATTTGATGCCACTGACACCCCCATCAAACCCCAAAAGCTCAAGGAAAGCCCAAATCGTCAATGCGAGACCCCTTCGATTTCCAGGCACCAAGCTCCAAATATGAACCCCAAAAAACCCTGAAACCCTAAAACCCCAAAAAATCTTTGAAAGCCCTGACTGACATCGCCCATCAAAACCCCCCAAAACTGGCTCTCCGGCATGCTTGTAGGACTCCAGATTCGGGCCCGGCTTCCTCAGGCTGAGCCTGCAATTCAAAGGGTGCCACGGTTTAGGGCTTAGGGCCTTTAGGGTTTAGGGTTTAGGGTTTAGGGGCGTAGCAAGAGAAAGGGGGCTTTATGTCGTTTAGGGCTTTGGGGCTTAGGTTTGTTTTTTGGTGCAATGGGGTTTTCTCTCCGCAGAACAGGGACAAGAAAGGCCTGCACTAAAGGAAGCCTTCTCTCACTCAGAGCACCTTCAGGAGGACTGCCGACATCCAAAGAGGCACCGATGACGCTCTTAGGGGGCATCGTACCGGTTTAGGGTGTAAGGTCTAGACTGAAGGGACGCCTCATTCAGCGCAGCCCTCAAACCCCCAGCAGCTGCTATAAGTCAAACATGCGAGCATTCATCCACCAACAACCACGTGTTGTGCGTATATGTGTGTGTGTGTACATAACCAGTCTATATCTACATAATATGCGTATGCATGCATGAGTATGGGTATGCTGCATGCATATGCACATAGGTCTGTGTGCATGTACTGTGCAGGCGGACACACGCAGCTGTCCGCACACATACATGCTGCGCGCACTTACGCCCATATGTGTGCGTACATGGGCAGATAAACAGGTAGATGGATACATAAATAGATAGACAGAGAGATAGAAAGATGAGGCGAATTGATGGCTGGATGGATGGAGAAAAAGGATGCGCGGGAGGATGGGTGGATGGGTGGACGGGTGGCTGGATGGATAGGTCGATGGGTGAATGTGTGGATAGATGGGTGGGTGGAGGGATGGATGGATCGAGGGATGGATCGATGGATGGATGTATGGATGGATGGATGGATGAGCAGATAGATATACAAATAGTTCTTCAGACGGACAGGCAGGCAGGCAGACAGACAAAGGTAGGTATGTAGATAAACGAACAAATAAATAGAACACTTTACGACACGATAATTTGGGGGTTTCCCAAAAGGGCCCTAATATAGTACCCTAAATAGTAGGATCCTTATCATAGGGACCCCAAAATAAGGTACCCCTTATTTCCGGAAACTCCCATTTGGATGCTCCACACCGGATCGCACCAGTCCGAAGCCCAGGCACCTTGCTAGCCATCTGCCGGCCTCTTCGGCTGCACCCACCTGAAAACTGCAGGGCGGTCCAGGGTTTAGGGTCTTACGGTTTCGGGTTTAGGGTTTCTATAAAGCTCTATAGGGGGTTCTAGAAGAGTTGCTATATCTATATGATTTTTTATTCCATAGGGTGTTTAGGAGGGTTTCCATAAGTCTTTTCAGGTTCTGCAGGAGCGTCTATGCGGGCATCTATAGTATTGTAGAAATTGTTCCGAGTGTCCGTTCAGGTTCTACCAAGGTTTCTATAAGTTTCATAGTTCCACAGCGGCTTCCAAACGGATTTTTAAGAGTCCTTCAAACTTCTAAAACGGTTTCCTTGACGGTTTCTGTAGTGGCTCTTTACCAGGATGTGCAGCGGGCGGGCTTTATAGCTGAAAGTGCCGGGGCTCTTGAAACGTTCTTCTGGTGGGGTCTATGAGGACACTTTGAGCGGCTCAGGGTTGAGGGGAGAAAGTTTTTGGGGAAGTTTAAACCTCTCCCGCTTCAGGGACGCTACCTTCAATGGCTTAAGCCTCTGAGTTTAAGGGTTTGGGTGTGCATGGGGTAAACCACGAAAATAATGCTATGGTATTACATTGTTGTAGTATTGTATTTATATGTGTATTGTATTTATGTGCCTGCATACCATTGAAGGAGGGTTTTAGGGTTTGGGATTTCGGGTTGAGGGAAGTCATGAGGATTGCTGCAAGGTCCGGCTGTGGAGTGAGGATCTTGGACCAAAAACCTAATAGCATTGGTGATAATAACCGTAGTACGTAGTAGTAGTAGTAGTAGTAGTAGCAGCAGTAGGAGTAGTAGGAGTAGTAGGAGTAGTAGGAGTAGTAGGACGAATAGGAGTAATAGTAGTAGCAGTACAAACAGTAGTAATAATGGAGATGGGTAGTTAAGATGTGCTCAGTGCAAAGAAGAACATGACCTTGCCAAGATGCGTACGACACGAAATGCAACGCAGCCCCCACAAAGTCCCAAGGAGAAGAAGTCGGAAGGCTAGAGGGCCGCGCCTTGCCGTAGCTCCTGCAAGTTGCTTGCTTTACATGCAAGAACCTACTCGTTGTGTTCCACCGTGAACCACGAGAAAAGGTTCGCACTGGCTGAAGGTACATCTCGGAGACCTGTGGCAGCCACTGAGAAACAGGAATGCGCAGGCAACCTCCCAGCTGACCTTAAACCCTGTACCCTAAACCCCAGACCGGACCCTGACCCCTAAACCCCTAAGATCCCTTAAGGCCCTCAACCCTGAACCCCAAACTTTGGCCCGAAAAACCCGAATCCCTAAACATCCCTTCTGGGTCCCGATGACCGCGTTGTAAGCCTCGACGGGCGGCTCCTGCCCGGCATCGGCCTCAGCTTCCCCATCTACTGACTCCTCGTTACCATGAGGGTTTCGGGTTTAGGGGTTTAGTGTTTAGGGCTTTAGGGGTCTAGGGGTTTAGGGCTTTAGGGGTTTAGGGTTTAGGGCTTTAGGGCTTTAGGGGTTTAGGGGTTTAGGGGTTTAGGGTTTAATTAGGTAAGTTTCGGTGTTAGGGCTTAGGGGTTTAGGGGCTTCGGGCCGGCTTCGGGGTTTAGGTTCCCCAAACACCTGTAACATTACCTGGCCGTCAGTCAGATTTGCAACGCATCTTATGCCAAGTATGCCGTACGTCACGGATATAAATGGCTACGCATCATGTGCATCAGCGCAAGTGTCTTCAGCGACGACTCCCGCTTGGTGAGCATCATGAGCAACTGGCAATCATCCTCAGCTGCACGCATCACGCGGCGAATTGCCATCATGAGCATCAGCTGCGGTTGTCCCTCGCGATTACTCCCAGCTGGTGCGCATCACGAGCATCAGCAGCTAGTTGCAGAATCCACCAGATGGGCGGGCATCATGAGCATCAGCTGGGATTGCTCCTAGGAACTCCTTTTGGCTGATGCGCATCAACACCTTCAGTAGCTAGTTACAGAATCCACGGGATGGCGAGCATCATGAGCATCAGCTGCAACTGCCTTCAGCGGACATTCCCGCCTCGCGTACGTTAGGACCGTCAACAACCCTTCTCTCTACCGAATGGGCGAGCATCATGAGCATCAGCTGCGGTTGTTCCGCACGATTACTCCTAGCTGGTGCGCATCACGAGCATCAGCAGCTAGTTGCAGACTCCACCAGATGGGCGAGCATCATGAGCATCAGCTGCAACTGCCTTCAGCGACCACTGAATGGGCGAGCATCATAAGCATGAGCTGCGATTGCCCCTTGCGCGACGACTGTCTCCATCCATGACTATCAGCTGGTGCGCATCACGAGCACGGGGCGGGGCATCAATCTAAACCCCACAGACCTGTAAACCCTAGCAGCTCCGAAACCCAAACCGAAACACCAAAGCCAGAAATTCCAAAAAATACCTAAACCCCAACCTTTCACCCTAACCTCCGAAACCCCAAACTTCGTACCTGCCGCTAAGGCTCTAAAGCCCCAAGCCCGGACCCCACATCCCCAAACCCCGACCTGCACTCGAAGCCCTCGGGCAAACATCACATGAAATCCCTGTAGATCCCGCAAACGGACGTTTGAATTTTGGGTTTAGGGTTTAGGGTTTAGGGCTTAGGGTTTAGGGCTTAGGGTTTAGGGCTTTGGGTTTAGGGCTTTGGGTTTTGGGTTTTGGGTTTAGGGTTAAAAGGGCTTAGGGTTTAGGGTTGAGGGTTTAGGATAGTGGGCTCCAGGCCATGATGTCCAGCCATCTTGCAGAGCCTGCACTCGGGTTGAACGAACCCATGGCCGTGGTAGCGAAAATTAGAAGAATCAGAGCCGTTGCTGCAGGTAGCTTTGGGGCTGAGGGTTAAGGGTACTTCGGCGCGGTTATCGGGATTCTTCTGGTTATTGAAACTCTTTCTGCAACATGCTGCGACGACTGAGGCTGCTACAACTATCATCGTGAATGCGCCGTAAGGTGAAACTAAGTTTTCTGACCACGACTGAACCCCCCTTTCCATGATGCCCGGCCCACCATGTAAACCCAGCACCGCAAAGCCCAAAAATCCCCTAAGCGCTCAACCCCCGAAACTCTGAAGTTTGGCTTCCTCATATGTAGGATCCTATTGTTCGGACCCTATAACCGTCCGTTTCAATCTCTAGCTCCCAAGCCTGCCGGATTCTGGTCGCGGGCAAAAGCGGTGATGACCTCTAGGTAAGGCACCTGGAGCGCAGCTTGCTGGGTTCAGGGTATGCGGCTTGAGGCATTTAGGTTGGGGGCAGAGGGGTCTCGAGGGTTTAGAATTGTCGAAATTTCTACAATCCTCAACCCTAAGCCCTAAACACTAAACCCTAAGCCCTAAATTGGAGGCTTGGGCTTCAACGAAGGGTTTTCGAGTCGACGGCAACGACGAGATGACGGCTTTGGGGACCTGAAAGGCTCGACCAGAAGCCCGGTGAACTGATGTTGGGGGCCGTAATTCTGACAATAAAAATATATTAAAGAAATCAAATTCTCACTTTTGCGACCTCCATACGACATCAAGGCTATCCGGGCATGGTTGTGGTCCTTTCATACTACGACTAAACAGCGACGACTGTCATTGCTCTCGTGAATAATGCTGGTTCTTCGCATATTTCTGCCCCAGGCCGCAACCCCGTTGGCCCTTCCAGTCCCCTTTCCTGCATCAGGTGCAACACAAGCCAGCCCCACGTCCTCCTTGCTAATCTGAGTCATCGATAACCTGGTCAGGACAGATGAATTCAGGGACCAGCAAGCAGGGCGCATATGCACCTGTATGTACGTGTCTGTGTGTGTATGTGTATGTATGTATGTATGTATGTATGTATGTATGCATGCATGTATGTATGTATGTATGCATGCATGCATGTATGCATGTATGCATGTTTTATGTATGTATGTGGATAAGTAACTAAGTAAAAGACAAAGGTAAAGGCATAAAATATTACATACATTTAAAGATGTGTGTGTCTACAGACATATATACATATATGTGCATTTATGAATGTACCTATATGATCTATATGTGTGCACATGTACCTACAGAGACATGCAGACATACAGACATACATACATACATGCCACCCCATGCATGTATGTCTGCATGTGAGTGTGTACATGTGTATGTTTGTATGTGTGCATGTACGTACGTATGTATGCCTGACGCAGCATGACATGACATAGCGGAGGGTGGCATGTATGTATGTAAGTATGTCTGTATGTCTGCATGTCTCTGTAGGTACATGTGCACACATATAGATCATATAGGTACATTCATAAATGCACATATATGTATATATGTCTGTAGACACACATATCTTTAAATGTATGTAATATTTTATGCCTTTACCTTTGCCTTTTACTTAGTTACTTACCCACATACATACATAAAGCATGCATACATGCATACATGCATGCATGCATACACACATACATACATACACACATAAATGCATACATAAATACATACATACATGCATGCATAGATACATACACACACACTATCTGTATACATATATAATGCCCATGCCCCATGCATGTATAACGGCATGGGCACACCCAGAGACATGTACATACAGGCGCATACCTTACATGCCGACACCAGAACACACATACATGCCCACAGATGTACACACATATACACGTACATACATATATAAACACGTAAATACACAAACAAACATGCCTGCATGCGTACATACATGCAAATACACCTACATGCACAAGTGAACATGCACGTACAGATATTCAGATTCGGTTCTTCATACACATACGCGAACCTACACATACAATTAGACATAGACATAGCACTAAACATAGACGAGACATCTTCCCGGTGAAAAATACATGGACGTAGACTTTGCACTTTCAAGCAAGTCTTGGATTATTGTCGACAGTAGTATGGTCAATAGCAAAACAGCATTAACGAATCACTAACGACGACAATGCCTTACAAGCCCAACCAAACCTCCACAGACGGTTCAATGACCAACTTGTACAGCACTCTCGGAAACAAGTCGCAAAAGGAGATGCGTACATCCAGGACCCGGGCAACACCCCGAAGGCCCAAAACTGCCCAAATGCAAACATCACATTCGGAAGCCCTTCACGCCGACACCTTGAACGTGCAACCTCAAACACTGGCTCGCACAAGGCACCTTTCAGGTCAATGTACATGCTTGATACTAGATATATATATATATGTATATGTATATATACAAACACACACCATATAGCAGAGTTATCAGAAATACTACATACAATATAAGCACATAAAGGTGCCTGGACCCTTTAAAACCCTCCACTTCCGACCAGCGCATGCCTCTGCAGCCAACTAGCCACACGATCTGCGACGCCTGCAGAAAAACCGGTGAACGCAAACTCTAACGCTTGATTATGTTTTTTTGGATGATGGCTTTCGGGCTTCACTCTAACAGCTGAAGTTGAGCGCTTCGGGTTCATACAACAGTTGAGGGCTTGAACAGAGGAATTTAGGAATTAGGCTCACGTGAAGGCTTCGAGGGTTTACAGCATTTGGCGCTTGCTTACGGCGCAGGGCCTCAAGATAGCACGGCGCAACAGGTTCTCCGGAGGTTGAACAGCAACTGGTGCTGCGACTTCTGCTTACAGGAGAAGGCGGATGCCAAACCTCAAATCCCTGATCCCGACACAACTAACTCTAAACCCTAAGCCCTAAGCGCCCTAAACCCTAAACCCTAAACCTTAACAGTCCTAAACCCTTAAGAGTGAACCCCTCCTGCCATGCATGTGCCTGGAAGATCTCCAGGCGCATGGTCCGCAAGCTTCACCGGTCGTTACACGATGCCCGTGGAAGTAATATCGGGGACGAGTTAAATAGAGTTTAGGGTTTACGGCTTAGGAGGGAATGGATGTATTAGACCTACATGTGCTGATTATTCAAATCCCCTTTTCTGCCCGTGGAAGATTTCATCACTGTCGGGTGGTGAAACTGTCTGACTACACGGTTGCGAAGCCTCGCTAGACCCAGCAACAAGATACCTGAGCCCAAGATACCAAACTCTATACTACGATATTACGATACCACCAACAAGAATTTTGAATTCGACAACTTTCCGTGAACACCCTCAGCGATCGTCTGGACTGAGACCGGCGACGACCTCGGCGTTCTCTCTTGGGGAAACGCATTAATTATTAGAATAGGGCTTCGGGGTATGTTGTAGTATACTTTTCATACAGTATGAAGCTAAGGCTACGTAATCATGTTGGTAATTGCTCAGGCTTTTGACAAATAGCCTGGCAGGGTTTAAGGGACCGCGGAGTTTCGGGTTTAGGGTCCCGGGGTTCAGGGACGTCATACAGCTGAGAATACAGGCACCAAACATAGATCACTACTCACTAGCTTGGCTTAAGGCATCAGTGAAACCAGATATTAGGAAACGTGGTGCTCTCGTGGTTCTGCCCATCGCTCTGATGGCGACGATACCTAGCACTGTTGCCAGCGATGCTGAAGCTTTCGAAACGACAACGAGGACATTAATTTCCGACAGCCCACTTCTCAATTTGCTGCAGGGTCTCGACATAAGCTGGTAAGGAACCCTGCATGGTGAAACTAGCTGGTGCAGGTATTGCAGTTCTGTTAAATTAAACTACCGGCCTCCACAAATGCAAGATTGCGCGGATCGTGGATGCGATTTCGGGGCTCCGGTGCTAGAAAGTTGAGAAGCTGTGGGTGTAGCGTGGTCGAGATACGGTCTTGCGGCTTGCAAAACCAGGGTATCAGGAGCAGCTTGGAGGGCTAAGGACCGGGATGTAATGTAGGGGCCTTAATAATTAGAATAGGGTTTGGGGCTATATTATACTATAACTATAATAAGGAACCCCCCAAAACCCTATTCTAATTATTAAAGCCGCTAGAGTGCAGACAGCACTCGACCTGAGGTTCCAGGTTCTGCGAAGAAGACGGCAACCTGGACCCCAAAAGTATGTAGAATAATAGCCTTTTATGGGCTTTGGGCCATTATTTTACCTACTTTTGGGGGTTTAGGAAGCTGCACACAGCTCCTTTCGACAGCGGCATGCGTGCCCGGTCGGGCCGGCTTCTCTATACTAATTCCTGCGTAAAGCATGTGACACCTCAAAGGGTTTTGAGAACTGTACACAGAGCGCCACGCTCTTTAATCCTCATAAGCTCCCTGCACGGCGGCGGTGTCCTTCAAGACTTGTGCGGCCTGCTCAGGCGCCATATGCTGCAGGCGGAGCATGTTGTCAATGATGCACTGCACGTCACTGCTGATGGGCGGAGGCAACACAGGAGCTGCCTCTGGCACGTTGAAGCCTCCCCATCCGATTCTGTCGCAAATGAGCATCATCTCTTTGGAGCTTGGCGTCATCGTATTCACCGCATAACATGGGGCCGCAAGTGGCCTCTGTGTACAAACGGTCATGGTTGCGGGGACTGCCTGAAATCCGGGTACCTGGGCTCCGTAAGCATAGTTGCTCAGCCCCTCTCCGGCCATGTGGTACTTGTTAAGAAGCTCCTCACCACGATGTACGTC